TAAGAGGAGAAGACGAGGAGTTAATACATTTAAAAAAAAAAAAAGAAAAAAAAAGGATTTGGTATGGAGGACTGGCTGAGGATGAGACAGTTTGGACAGACTCTTCCAGCATGTTGCAGGTGTAACGAGCAGCAGAAAGAGAACATGAGGGTTCTGAAAAGGCCGGTGGACACTGAAGTAGCTGTGGCATGGAGCTGCTGCTGCTGCTGCTCAGGTGGAGCAGGTGGAGCTGCACGGGACGTTCAGTGTGTGAAGAAGAGGAAGAGGAAGAGGACGAAGAGGAAGAAGAAGAAGAGGAAGAGGAAGAGGGAGAGGAAGAGGAAGAAGAGGAAGAGGAGGAAGAAGAAGAAGAAGAGGAAGAGGAAGAAGAAAAAGAAGAAGAAGAAGAAAAAGAAGAGGAAGAAGAAGAAGAAGGAGAGAGGCAGAGAGGGAGGCGACGGAGGAGAGTGGCGACGGAGGAGAGTGGAGAAAAAGGCCAACGTTATCAAAGCCTGAAAGTAAAGTCCCATTGTGAAAAGAGAGATACATTACTATTTTGAAGATATCTTTATAGGTTGCTGGTTTAAGTCCCGTCCCCAGCTATGGTCTGTTGAGCAAACACCCAAAAAAAAAAAAAAAAAGCCCTCACTACCCAGGTTGCTTCTGTTTCGTTGTTGGTTTCATGCCTGATTTGTGGTGAATTTTAAAGCATCCTCCACCTGATGAACTTCATTTCATTTCTTTCTTTGTCGCGTGAAGAAACAGAACAGAAGTTTCTCGGTTCTTTCAGGTCATAAAAACAGCTTTGAAACACAGCGTGTGTTCTTTTTTCTGCTCAGACTCACGACTTACATCAGAGACGCTGGCGGGTCTGGTCAGTGCAGTCACAGACGAGTTGGGGAGGTTCTTGTTGCCGGCCTTCATGGCGGCGTCTCGGCGAGCCTGTTCCAGCAGGAGTCTGGCTCGTTCCTTCAGCTCCTCCTGACGAGACAGTGCCTTCTACAAAAAAAAAGAAAGGTTCAAGTCAAATCAAAACACGGTTTTCATCCCAAAGTTTGTAAAGACTCAAGTCAAAAAGTTCTAGGACACATGGTACAACGTGTCAACAAGACGGACTTTATGATTCACTCGTCAATAGTTCGTCCCATTAAAAGTATTTCTATAAAACTCAAGCCCCAGTGGCCTAATGGATAAGGCACTGGCCTCCTAAGCCAGGGATTGTGGGTTCGAGTCCCATCTGGGGTGTAGATTAAAAGTTCATATAAGTTTAAGTCGGTTCCACAGTGGAGCAGTTACAGAAACAGAGAGTCCTGTTAAAACAAGAATCTCCCAAATATGAAATCAATGAAGTTCTTTTTTTTTTTTTCTGTATTGATCAGTGGTCATGTTTTTACCCACCTTCTCAGCTGGAGGGCTTGACACGGGGGCAGGTGTTGAATCCTAGTAAAGACAAGAAAACAACATTATCTACAGGTGGATTTTAATATAAAAAAATCAGTGAAATATTTAAATCTACTGCATTTTTTCCTGATTCTCTAAATATCTCTCCCCATATTTCACACACTTCACTGTTGCACGTTGAAAGTGCCTGATTCTCTAAATATTTCGCCCCACACTTCACTGTTGCACGTTGAAAGTGTTATTATTGTGACAGAAGCCTGAATAAAGGGGGTGGGGGGGTGAAATCAGGAAGGGTAGAATCTCACTGCAGAATCACCCACTGAGGCGACACCTGCGGAGGGGGAGCAGCTGACGGAGTTACTTCGTCCGACGTCCCTTTTTTATTTTAATTTTTTCACAAAATGAATAATTTCATAACGACAGAGAATTCAGGAAAAACCACAGCAGCTCCGGCTGGTTCCTCTGTGAGTCAGGTGGTGTGGAGAGGAAGGAGACAGCTGCAACTACAGAGTGATGGGGAGGAGGGGAAAAAATAAAAACACAGGTAGCTGAGGGTTTTATCAGCAGGGTAATCCTGGCCGTGTTTTAAGAGCTTTTACATTTGGATTAGACGCAGGGAAACAACAGCCGAGCTGCTAATAAGACTAAAAACATGTTTATCCTTTCGACAACAAGTCAACAAGTCAAATCTGGCCGGGAAGCAGCTGAGGATGCTTCCCGCTAACTAGATAACAGCGGATCAAAATGGGGTGTCAGACCTTCTGACTTGTAAACAGGAAGCTGTAATCTGTGGGTAACCAGCGCCGGCAGTAATGCATTCAGTGTGTGCACGTGCACACAGGTGCACACACGCCGAGGCGAGCGAGAGACAAGATGACTTGTCCTCTGCAAAAAAAAAAAAAAAAAAGAAGCTACGCTTGAACAATCACGGCACAAACTGCCATCAGCTGAAGGGATGAAAAATGTAATGAAAAATATAATGAAATGTCAAAAACAGGGGGGTTTTCTTTGGGGCCAAGTCTGCAGGCGCCTCGGGCTCCGGGCCGGGCCTTTGACGCTTCTGACTCTGGGCACGGAGACAGGTGACGACGACGACGACTAATGCACGGCGAGGAGAACTGAGACGCCGTCGTGACTGCATCAGCAGCAACAAAGTCTGGATTTAAAGCTTAAGGAGGAGCCGATGTTCAGTGTTCTCACCACAGATGTGAAACATTTACCTCAGTCTGGGGGTGAGGACACAACACACCCAGAACCACCCAGAACCACCCAGAACCACCCAGGGGAGACGCTGGCCGTCGGGTGACGGAGGCTGGTGGGTTTACCTGTTTGGGAGGGGCATCTGTGTGGTTGACCGGAGCGGCGCTGGTGTCTGACGCCGGCTCGGACTCCGAGTGGCGCAGGACGGCCCTTTTCTTCTTGATGAGGTCGGCGTCCCTGTTGTAGGAGAAGCCCAGTTTCTGGTGCGAGGGTGAGGTTCTGGTGGGGGACGCTGGTTCTGCTCCTCCCTCCTTTCTATCTTCTCCCGCCTCTTTCCTCTGTCCGTCTTTGTCCGCGTCTCTCTCCGCTCTCCGCGGTAACTCGCTGGTGTCCACGGTGTTGGCCTTGAGCAGAGGGCCCCTCTCCTCGGAGCCAGGCTGCCGCACATGTGCAGAGTCTGCGGGGGAGGAGGGGAACAGCGTGCGCGGTGACGGGACAGGGGGCGAAGAAGGCGACGGTCCTGATGTTGAACCTGCGTCTCCTTCAGCCCTGCCACCGGGCTCCGTCTCCTCCTCCTCAGCAGCTTTGGTGCCGTTAGCCGCGGCGCTAACGTCAGAGGCCGCCGCGGTCTGAGCGGCGGCCGGGCGGTTCTGCACGTCGTTGAGTTCGGCGTAGAACTTGTCCTGGCCTATGGAGGCGTTGGTATCGGTCTCAAAGTCGCCCACTTTGTACGTGCTGCGACTGCTGTTGGCCTCGATCTGCACCACGTTCAGCTCCTCGCCCGAGAAGTGGGCCCGGATCTGGTAGAGGTAGGTCATCACCGTCAGCTTGTCCGGGATGGCGAGGAGCACCATGTCGGAGGGTTCCAGGAGACGGGAGATGCCCAGGCTGGCGAAGACGTCGTACGCCTGTACGGACAGAAAAGAACGGAGAAGAATTCTCAATGAAGAGCGGGAAGAAAAAGGAAACACGTGACAAAAAACAAAAACCAAAATAGACCAGAAACGCTTTCTGACGACGGCTGCATCTGTTCCCATGATCCACGTGTCTGGATGTTGATGTGTGTTGGCGTGTGAGTGCGACACCGTGGACAGGTCACGTCAGGGATGGATGTCCCCGATAAGAGACGCAGACACCCCAAGACAGAACGCCTAATCCCGACGTACGTGTGTGTGTGTGTTTGTGTGTGTTTCTTATCGCGCCCCAACATCAACCTGCCCACGCTCTCCGTCACGCGTGTAATTGGTCTGATTAGAGTTTGATGAGAAAATACAGGTTTGATTATCAAGCATCACACCGAGCCCGTCCTCCATCAGCAGATAGACCGAGGGGGAGACAGGGGGAGACAGAGGGAGACAGAGGGAGAAGGGACGAAAACCTTTATCGCAGTCAGTGACAGGTAAATAAACAGATTAACAGCACACACACACACACACACACGGGGGAGACAGAGGGAGACAGGGGGAGAAGGGACGAAAACCTTTATCGCAGTCAGTGACAGGTAAATAAACAGATTAACAGCACACACACACACACACACACACACACACAGCTGGTATCACTGCTTGTATCTGCTCTGTTTGATAGTGTTGATCAAACTGCGACCTGTCGCTCATTTGTTTCCCTGTCGTCTCAGATTTCTCCAGTCTATCACTCACTCACCTTTTTGTCCCGGTGTCTTTTTTTATTTACTTTTATTGAACAAGGAGGAAGGAGTTGTTTAAAAAAAAAAAAAATCAAGGTTAAACCAATTTAACAAAGGACGCTGAATTATCAACTTTCTTGCTAACAGCAAAATAACATCAGCTCATTCTCCTACTGACTAAATAATCCTTTAACAAACTGGAAGGATCCCAGCGGTGTTCGTACAGTGTTTGATTACTTTGGGTGAAATTTCAGTTTGTCAACGCTAACAGACAACGACGACTTCCTGTTTTTGTTGTTGTTGTTTTTGCATAAAGTCACTTTTATGTAGATGAAACGCTCGTTGTCCTAAAGCATCAGTGTCACCAAAGTATCGTCTGTTGAGATTTGTGTTAAAACTTAATGAAATGAATGACATAAGAGGACAGCGCCACTGTGTGGTTTTGCTGTTAGCAAGCAAGCAGAGAATTTACTGTGATATTTGACTTTATTTCCCAGGTTTTTCAGGTTTACTAATGAAAACCCATTCATTAAAACCCACAAATACTGGATCTGTGATTGAAACAGTGTGTTTTCTATTTCATTATGATGTAAAAACAATGAATAAATACTGAGGATAAAGACGAGAATAACAAACTGTAGAACAGAGTTTTCCTGTTCTTTTTTTTTTTTTTTTTTGGAGAATGAAACAGAAAGAAATGAGGGGGAAAAAAAGGGAAAAGAATAGAGTGGAGTAAGAAGGTCTGATTGAGTTTCTACAACACATTCAGAGACGAAGAGTGTTCTGTCATTGTTCCACTCTCACCCAGGGTTGGGCTGTGAAAGAGAGCGACACGTCCACAGTTCAATAGGGACAGAAATAAGAATGAGAGAAAAGAGTGAGAGTGGGGAGAAAGTGGGAGCTGAGGAGGAGGAGGAGGAAGAGGAGGAAGAGGAAGAGGAGGAGGAGGAGGAGGTGAAGAAGGAGCACCAACGTCAGGCCTCAGACTCTTTGACCCTGATGTCGCCTTAGGAAAGTCAAGACGTTCTGAGAGATGTTAACTTTTATCATCATATACCTTTAATACATTGTTTCCCAAAGACTGGGTCGCGACCCTCAGGTGGGTCGCAGGAGATTTTTTTTTTTTTTTTTGACGTCGTCTCGCATCGTGTTTCCCAGGAGTTTACAGAGAACGTCTGTTGACTTTGGTCATGAAGGATTGGGACTTTTAAAAATATGTTTGGGAAACACTGGTTTAATACACTTGACCTCTCGACCTCTTTCAGCAGTTTGTGGGTCACATGACTTTTAGGGTGTGACCTCGCTGGTACAGCGCCACCAGGAGTTCTGTCTGACACAGAACCAAACGTGACGAGTGTGTACGCACCGTAAACGTCCACTTCCTGCTGCTCCCTCAGTGATTGACAGCTTTCTATCACTGTCAATCATCTGTGACCCCCCTCACCCTGACCCCACCCCCCCCACCCCACCCTGAGCTGCAGGTTCTTTTACTGCGGCCTACTATCAGATGGCAGGACAAATGACTTCTGCCTGGCTTCGTTACAACCACCGTAACGGTGTAAAAACAACCTCAAACAAACACAAACACACACACACCGTGTTCACACCACACACACCAGAAAAGTCCACACACACACACACACACACACATTTATATTAATTATTAATGGACCATTTCAAAGGCTTACAAAAAAAGTCTAAATATTCATTTCCTTCAATTTTCCAGTCCACTCTTTCTATG